TGTCATCTGCAAATTTTATAATGTGATTGGAGGAGTGTGTGGAGGTGCAGTCATAGGTATAAAGGCAATAGAGTAGTTGGCTCAGCACACATCCCTGTGGTGAACTGGTAGTGAGAGTGGAGGAATGGTGAAGAGCTTAACACACTGAGGGCGGTTAGTGAGAAAGTCCATAATCCAGGTACAAAGGTGAGCAGAAAAGCCCAGGTGAAGGAGTTTCCTGATAAGAATGTTGCTGGATCCGCTCCGGCTATCAACAAGAGAAAAATCTGTACTTCTTCAACAGACCACGAAACAGCCATTATTTTGTTGTTTAAAAAAAGGTGCGCTCGTTCAAAACTGCTGCGTTTGTTCAAAAAAAGTTGCTTTCGATCCTCGCTGACTGTGCTGATTTAATAGCGGGTCTAGTGTCTTGTGTCGCAAGTTCAATGACACAGGTAGTGGCGATTTTTTTCGGCAAGTCAGTGATCAGCAGGGTTTACACGTCACATTTTTTTAACGGTACGGCTCACTTGGAACCCTCATAAGGTTTATTTATTTGTTTGTTTGCTTATGTTTATTTTTTGTAAAAAGGTCTTTTGTGCTATCATCCACACATGCAGAGTTGATGATAATATAACTGCAATAAAGTAATAGCCTAGTTAACAATTACTTGTTTACATAGGATATATAATGTATCCTATTTTATATTATTTGGGCACTCATAATTTGACAGAATTTTCTAATTCAACATGCCATGGGAAGTCAATCTAACTTAACATTTTCTTATATTGATATTGTTTATTTCTTACTCCTTAACAATTCATCAGGCTCTTTTATTTAATTTATGCCATCTCTTGGAATATGTGAATGACTCATCACTCATCATTAGACCCCATTTTACACATGGCTCTCAATTCTCTCTCTGCTCTTATGAAAATGTTCCATAGTTCTTAACAGCATTTGTTATAATAAGGCTAGCCTATTATTCATTACCAGGCCAATAACTTTTTTTCTTCTTTTTTTCCCTTTTTTTTTAATTAATCTATATAGCATTTGTTATGAAAAACAACAGCCTGCACATTTAGAAACAATAGCTACAACATGCCACATATGTAATATAAATCTATATGGAAAAATATATTCCCTTAACAGATTATCTATTATAAATTCTACAACAAGTTCAACAAAATGTATAAGCCTACAGTAAAACGTGATAAATTCTTCTGGTAAAGGTGGTCATGAGTAGTTTAAAAAGATTTTAATGTATGTTAGTGCTGGTGCAAGATTGTTTTCTCCTCTTTTCATCAGTCTTTTTAGTTTATGTGCCTTTTTTAGATAATGTTCGACTTTATCCATAGCATTTTAAAGTGGCAATTTTTCAATAGAATGCAAATAGATCGCACATTTTACCATCAGCTTCGCGATAGGAATGGTGTGTGCTAATCTTATCACACTTTTCGAGCGCATTGTTGATTTGCGCGCAGCTCGTGCACAATTAAAAGAACTGCGCTTCAGTCATATTGTGCTGATAACGGGTCCGTTCGCTTCGTATGTGAAGTTAGCGCTTATAAAAGCGCAGAAGTCGCGATTTAAATAAACTAGGCAACTACGTCTATGGAAAGCCGTTGTAACATTTAATCTTTAAGCCGTACAATATCTATTTTCATGGTACTAGTACCTATTTTTTAGATACTAGTATCTTTTCCATTAAGTACTAGTACTTATTCATTAGATACTAGTACTTATTTATTAGGTACTAGTACTTATTCATTAGATACTAGTACTTATTCAATAGATACTAGTACTTATTTCAATAGTAACTAGTAACTATTATATTGTTACTAGTAAAAAAAAAACATTTTTTTGCCATTGACTTCTATGGGGATCCGTCATTGAGATATCAATTATTCAGTTTTGACTAGTATGTATTCCAATAGTGACTAGTACTTAATTTTTATGCACTAGTAGTTATTCATTAGGTACTAGTACATATTTTTTAGATACTAGTACTCATTCACTAGATACTAGTACCTATTAAATAGACACTAGTACTTATTCATCAGGTACTAGTACGTATTATTAGATACTAGTACTTGTCCATTAGATACTAGTACTTATTTTTTAGATACTAGTACTTATTCATTATGTACTAGTGCTTATTTATTAGAAACTAGTACTCATTCATTAGATACTAGTACCTATTAAATAGATACTAGTACTTATTCAATAGATACTAGTACACATTTATTAGATACTAGTACTTATTCGAAATGTTACTAGTATAATTTTTTATTTTACTAGTACATTTTTTAATTGAACTCTACTGTAGCCATTTGGACTAGTCATAACATCAGACAAGTAAAAAAGCAGATCTGACTAGTAAGATAAGAATTGTTACTAGTAGTAATTACAAAAGATACTAGTGTCTAATAAATAAGTACTATTACTAGTAACTAAAAAATAAGTACTAGTTCTATTTTTTCTTAACAAAAAGAATATAATTAAATACTAGTCACTATTGGAATAAGTACTAGTATCTAATGATTAAGTACTAGTATCTAATGAATAAGTACTAGTAACTTTACAAAAGACACTAGTACCTAAAGAATAAACACTAGTACCTAAAGAATAAGCACTAGTAGCTAAAGAATAAGCACTAGTACCTAATGAATAAGTACTAGTACTTAATGGAAAAGATACTAGTATCTACAAAATAGATACTAGTACCATGAAAATAGATACTAGGACGGCTTATAGATTAAATGTTAAAACGGCTTGCCATACTACGTCCCTGATTTGGATGGATCTTTGTGATTTCTTTTTGTTTCATCCACTGCTGCTGCATCTGGAGGTCCTAAGAATTTTTATGGCAGTCACTAGGGGTTGAACGACTTCAGATTTTTTTTCTTTGGGTCGATATGTTTCTCACATATTTGTGATTGTTCTAAATCAGATACAGATAAAGTAGCACAGTAAGGATTACATTTATATGAATGCATTAGCGAGAGAGCATCTCTCTACTAATAGTGAAGCTGTGGGTTTTAGTTACTAAGAAATATATGCTAGAGCTTTTCAGTTTCTAAATCATAGAACAGTGTTACTGAATGATTCTGTGTGCTCGCGATCTGTGTGCATGATGTACGAGCTACTGTCTATAGCCTGTGTGTGTGCATTACAGTGCAGCAGCGCAGTAGATTAGAACTGTACAATAAGCTGTTTAATACATGCATTCTCCCGTTCAATTTCGAGCACCCAGGTGTTATAATCACACATGTCTTGTGGAGAGCTTTCGGAGTATGCATTTATTTGTTATGTTAACTGTTTGAGAATGGAGCGTAAATGTGGACTTCAAAGATTTCTTATCCTGTTGCGCCCTCTATAGGACCAGTGACTAGTCAATGTCAAGCTAATTGACTAGTCAGTGCAACCCCACAGGCCTAAACCTTAGGAATTAGTCTCTAGATGGGTGAAGGGCAGAAATGGCATTTTGACCAATGAGAAGTCCTGTCCTTCCTGGGCTTGGTACCAGAGATCTCCGTCTTGCCTTCTAAGAGGTGTCTGGCCTTTGTCCTAGCATCTTATTCTGATGGCTTTGGACAGTTTGTTGTTGGACAGTCAAAATGTAGCAAACCTTTGTGGACTATGGCGGTCAGAGAGGGGCCCGCTGTAAACTGGGCCCTGGAATGTGCTGTTCACCTCACATAAATATCATAACATCATTTATGCAGCTATAACTGCAGTGTAAATGCATTTGTGGTATCTCTGAGCTGTATTAAACAGTCTATGTCCGGGTTCCTCAATAGACGGCCCATGAGAGAAAAATGTTTGGCTCGCACTAATTTAAAATAATGTGGCATGAAAATTCAAACGCAGCATCAGACAGCGACATTAGTCTGACACCGTGTCTACACCAGGCGCGACGTGATGCTGTCTATACTGGATGCGGCGCGGCGCTACACGACAAATCCCCAACAGTAAACAGAGCCCTTGTTCTATTTATGACGTACTGCAGTGTTGCCAAGTCTGCAGTTTTCCCATGGAATTGGACTAATTTAAGTTGCCACATGTTTTTTTTGTTTTTTTTCCATGTCCGTGGGTTGAAGCGACCCCAATAATGGACCACAAAACCTTAAGTCTTAAGTGTACATTTTTCGAAATTGAGATTTATACATCATCTGAACGCTGAAGCTTTCCATTTCCATTGATGTATGGTTTGTTAGGATAGGACAATATTTGGCTGAGATACAACTATTTGAAAATCTGGAATCTGAGAGTGCAAAAAATCTAAATACTGAGAACATTGCCTTAAAGTTGTCCAAATTAAGTTCTTAGTAATGCATATTACTAATCAAAAATGAAGTTTTGATATATTTATGGTAGGAAATTTACAAAATATCTTCATGGAACATGATCTTTACTTAATATCCTAATGATTTTTGGCATAAAAGAAAAATCAATAATTTTGACCCATATAGTGTATTTTTGGCTATTGCTACAAATATACCCGTGCAGTGGTTTTGTGGTCCAGAGTCACATTTATGTAATATTTAACCCCTGGAACGAAAATTTTACCAGGAGATAAACAGTTATCCCTGAACAGTTTTGACTGAGTGACTGAGTCTGTAAATATCGCCTTTTAATGGAAAAGTTCATTACTGTCACTAGTTAAGGATTTTTTTTTTCAGTTTTTATCCTGACTTCACTGAATCCTGCAAAGTGTCCTCCTTTTTGGTGTTATAGAACTCACCATCCTAGTTATGAATCTTGAGTGATGGAAATAAAGCTACTGTGCATTTAGAGAAATTGAAATAATTATGCAAATATTTTATTATTACCAAATGCCGCCATATGTCTAATCCTAAGTATAAGTGCCTCGCCTCAAATTTAACATCATTTCGGGGATGCTGGAGCCTATCCCAGCATCTTGGGCCACAGGTGGAGGAAACACCCTTGCAAACAAACTCCACTTAGAAAGGCCTCCTAGCTTTCTTTAAAGATTATACTGTCACATACTTCTACAGGTGCAGATGGTGAGCAGCATCAGAGTGGGGCGGAATGTGAATTATAGGATTCTGGATATTGACTGGTGTACATCAGATAAAGTGGTGCTGGCATCAGATGACGGCTGCGTGAGAGTGCTGGAGATGGCCATGAAGTCTACCAGTTATAGAATGGATGAGCAGGACCTGACAGGTGAGTTTTTAAAAACTGTCAGGTTACAGAGTTTTTAGTTTAAAGACTGTGTTGTGTAAACACCCCCAATAATGCCAAATGTTGTGTTCTAGGGTTTGTGTACAACAGTTATAATTTGTTTAAATTAAGAATGGAACTTTTTGGTTTTGGTTTAAAATGCAGATAAAAATGCAGAAACAAGTGACCAGAAACCATTTAGCATCCAAGCAGTGTGCACATGAAAAGGTTTAATCAGATCTAATTCTAAATGTAAATGGTGATGAGTAATATATTGATGGAAAAAGAGGTTGTCCACAGTTAATGAGATCTTGTGTAGTGAGAGTGTTTCAAAGAGAAAGCCAAATAATTTTTTTTTTTTTTTGCCCAGCATTTTCATTTTGACAGATGTATCCCCAGTTTAAATTGAGTACAGTAGACGTTAATGGAAAGTCCCCATTTGGATATCCGATAAATGTGTTGAGGGCTGCATTCATCCTTGTGTTTGTATGTGCATACAGTATGCTTTGACATATTATTGTATTTTTCTTCCTATTGGTGTACAATAGACTTTTATGGTGTATGTATGTCTTTGTTCCAGATTCAGTATGGTGTCCCTATCTCCTATTGCCACGTGCTGCTCTCACACTGAAGGCCTTCCTGATACTGCAGCCATGGTCCAATACATTCACCATGGACATTACTCATGTGTATGTGACAGCTTCATTATTTTTTTCACATCTGTATCCATTCAAAAGTCATTCACAGCGCATTTTACTCCAGTCTGTTGTGATAGCGGCCTTTGCTGGTGCTATTGACAAAATCTGACCTTTAGGCACTAAGGCTTTATATTCCTTATGTCTTGAAATGAAAAGATATGTTTAAAACAACAAAAAGCCAGGTTAAAAAAAAAAAAATCTCCATAAAAGAAAACATCACACACCAGTACATTTGCACAGATTTTCGTGCAAAAACACATCCATTTTGCTGAGTGGGTGAGGCACGCGAGAGCAACGAGCGCTGCTGCGCGCATGCGCACTAAACAGAAGGAGTGCAATCGAATAGGAGCGCAATAATTCTGAGTAAAATATACATTTTGCTAAAAAATTTGTTTTTGGACATTAAATGTGTCTTTTGTAGAATTTTAAACCTACATATAACGTGTATTTTTATGATAGCAGTAACTGTAAGTGGACTATTGTAATAGGTAAATCAAATGTAAGCTAGTAGGCTACAGTAGGCTACTAATTACTAAGCTCAAATGAGTTCATGTGTTTCTTATAGCAGTTAAAAATGTAGTCATTTTCTTTATTATTTATTTTCATTTTTAATTCAGTGATTTTAACTTTTAATTTAGTTATTGTAATGCTTTAAATAGTAAAGTAAAATAGTAAACATTAATTGTAATGTTCTAATGTTCTGCTATCTGTTCTGCAAACTATAAAAGGTACAGCTGTAATAAAACCAGAGAGAAAGGCTGCATGTAATGATGTTTTCAGCGCAATATTTGACTTGAAGGGTAAAAATTATGGTTATTTTCGTCAGTTACAACTCGTTAGCGCAAGCATTCTGCCCGCTTCAAATCAGACACAGAGATGAAATAGTGCAGTAAGTAAATTTATTTGAATTAATGAATTATAAATTTTTTTAAATTAATTTGAGATCGAGAGAGAGAGCTGACAGTTGCGTGTGTGAATTACCTGCGTCTGCGTGTCTCTCTCTCCAAACAAAGAAGCTGTGAGATTACTTATTTAAAAAAAAAAGCGATTTACCCCTTCATTGCTGAGGAATATAATGTAGTGATCCAGTATCTAAGCTTTTTTATTAAAGTCAAGGGGCAGCGCTGACAACAAGTTTCTGTGCTCCTGAATGTTTCCGTGATATCTCTCTCTCTCTCTCTTCTCTTCTCTTCTCTTCTCTTCTCTTCTCTTCTCTTCTCTCTCCTCTCCTCTCCTCTCCTCTCCTCTCCTCTCCTCTCCTCTCCTCTCCTCTCCTCTCCTCTCCTCTCCTCTCTCTGTCTCTCTCTCTCTGTGAGGTGTGTGTGTGTGTGCATCAATGAAAGCAGTGCATGAATATAGACTGGTGATTAAACTGACTTGGAACTACCTGTGCATTAAACGGTTTTAATGCATATATTGTGCCAGCAAGGTTTCTATGTGAAAACCCCACTCACATTTACTGTTCTGTTGTACTTATATTCTACAGTTTACTGAATGGCATTGGATTAAAGGTGGGATTAGAGGTGTACTATAGTGAATTTATGACAATTATTCTTGAGATGTCAGAGAGAGAGACTAACACATCAATATTTGGCAGGACTTCAGGGATTTGATTATATTAGCCATATATTTTCCCCAGGGAAACACCTTCATGGAATTTGAACAGATTTGTACAGTTTACACCTAAAATAAAAACATTTAATTATACAGAACTCATTTGCTTTATTGTGAGATTTTTTTTTTATAATTGCTGCACCATTATTGGCAGCAAACCAAAATGCCAAAAAAGTACATTTTTGTCACTTTAGCATGAAATAAATACTGCCACAGTATACATTGCTCCCACAACAAAGTTGTAGGGCATTGCTACAGTATGTGCTTAATAAGCTGTTCCAAGTACGCTTATTGGAATACTGCTATGTGGTTGCTAGAGTGTTCTGTGTGGTTTGGCATTGTTATGCAGTTGCAAGAGTGATTATTAGATGGTTACATACTGCCCCAGGTCACATCTGCATGATATTCTGCAGGGCTCGCAAAATTTTAAAATCCCTGGTAGCCCTTCGGGCAGGTACTCTTCAAATTTTGGTAGCCCAAAAATTAATTTAACTAGCCCAAATCAAAAAAAGTTTTTTTTTTTTTAAATAAACATTTTTTTTTTTAAATATATATATATATATAGAAAATCAGATAGGAGCAAAAATATTTTCAATACACAAATATCAACAAATATGAAGGAAGGAATTTTATTTCACTATTTACAGGGTATCTGCAGAATTTGTCAAAATGAATGTAAGGCAATTTATGACCAATTTTAAGAGCTGCACAAGTAAAATTAACATAGTATGAGTGGGGTTGGACAATGTCTATGGTAACATACAGTATTGAACCATAAAATTACATGATTTACAGTTCAGATACAGGTTTTCACAAAAACAAAAATCCTATACAACAGCATTTCAGCCTTTAGACCATTTTTATGAAAAGGGATAAATCAAGCATATAAATTTATTTAAAACTTATAAATATACTATTACTGTCTTAATTGTTTAGATTTTTAGAAGGCACATTAACTTCTTTCTTATTTACAACTCTGTTTGCTGCGTAAAAACGTGAGTTGATATTTGCATTGATCTGACCATAAACAGCAAGAAAGGCTTACTGGAAATGCAAATTCATTCTCTGCCAGGAGGTGGTGCTTTAGGAGCGATGAAATATTGTGGTTTCCCCGGTAACGGCTGTACACAACGCAGCTCTGCAGCATTTTGACTTGAAATGTGCAGCGCTTATATTTATTCAATGACATCATTGCCTTTTGAAGTTTAATCCAGCCCTATCCCGACTCTTGTCTTTCAGTCCCCAACTGTAAGACCTCTTGTAATTATAATTAAGACATTTCTTATACCATTTAACGTATTTAAAGCTTTTTATGGCCTTAAGTTTGATACAACTCACTTTAGGAGTTTTTAAGGACCCGCGGGAGAGCTGCATTTAAGATAGCCCATCGGGCAGAGTGGTGATACATTTTGGTAGCCCGACTGGAAAACACAATAGCCCCGGGACATCGGGCTAGCGATTTTGCGAGCCCTGTTCTGGTCTCTAAATATGGTTCTCTACCCTCCTTCAAGTGAATAGTTACAAAGATTTAGCAGGGGGAACCCATTCTCCTCTGCCATTAATACTTTTGTTCACTGAATGAATTAAATGATTCAGATTTCATAAATTGTTAGTGACAATTTGTAGTTTTCGAAGACCATCCTAAATTGAAGGGTTAGTTCACCCAAAAATGAAAATTCTGTCATTAATTACTCACCCTCATGTCGTTCAAAACCTGTAAGACCTCCGTTGATCTTCGGAACACAAATTAAGATATTTTTGATGGAATCTGAGAGCTCTCTGACCCTCCATAGACAGCAACGCAACTGAAATGTTCCCAGACAGAAACGTAGCAAGGACATCGATAAAACAGTCCATGTGACATCAGTGGCTCAACTTCAATTTTGTGAAGCTACTAGAATACTTTTTATGCGCAAAGAAAACAAAAATTACATAATTTATTTAACAATTATTTTCCCTCGAGTTACGTCTTCTGCCATTTTGGAGAGTACCCAAGAACGTAATCAGCGTTGTTTACGTTAGGAGGGGAAATCACATGCATGAACGTAATTGGCGTAATCCGCGTTGTTTACACTTAGAGTAAAGTGTGTATGGGTTGTGATACTCTCCAAAATGGCGGAAGACAGTAACTCGGGGGAGAAGAATTGTTGAATAAAGTCGTAATTTTAGTTTTCTTTGCGCACAAAAAGTATTCTCGTAGCTTTGCAAAATTGGAAGTTGAGCCACTGATGTCACATGGACTGTTTTACTGATGTCCTTGCTGCGTTTCTGTCTGGGAACATTTCAGTTGCGTTGCTGTCTATGGAGGGTCAGAGAGCTCTCAGATTCCATCAAAAATATCTTAATTTGTGTTCCGAAGATGAACGGAGGTCTTACAGGTTTGGAACGACATGAGGGTGAGTAATTAATGACAGAATTTTCAATTTGGGGTGAAATAACCCTTTAATGAAACAGATGCACTTAGGCTATGTTCACACTGCGAGCCTTAGTGCTCAATTCTGATTTTTTTCTCAGATCCGATTTTTTTGTGTAGCTGTTCACATTGTTGTTTTAAATGTGGCCAATATCAGTTTTACAGTGTGAATAGATCGTGGTTCTGAACTGACCCGCATGCGCAAAAGAACAATACAAACAGAGTTTCCAGGTTTACACCCTTTTTTGCTTCTCAAAACTAGTCCAAAGCTAGCACAACCATGTTCAGGGGATAAATATCGCGTTAGTGGGGTCGCGTCGACCCACGAAGTTGAAAAACATCCTGCGGGAACAGTGGAAATGTAGCCTAATTGTTACTACAAGCTTTGAAGGTGTTTATGGAAGCGATTTACTGGATTTAGGCTTTGATAATCGTACTGAATATTATTCAGATGTAGTTTTTGATAAAAATGTGATTTTCTCACCTTTTTGGTCAAAATTATGCATTTTTTATGAAACCTGCCTATATTCAAGTGTTGATAAAACAAGAATGCTTTAAGCTAGAATAAAACTGATTTTTTTTTTTTTTTTTTTTTTTTTTAAAAAGAGAGGT